TGGTCAGCTCACAGTTATTTCTGTTCGTTGTTTTTAAGTCAATGGTTGCAAAATACAGAGTCCTGTCTTAGTAATAAACATTTAATTTACTCTGCATTAGATTGTCATGATGAGTTAACTATTCAAAACTCAGAATCTTCATTGTATAAATTAATAATATTACATCTATTCTATTGTAGCAGCTACCCTTTGCAAATTTGAATAAAATGAAAGCAGTGGAGCTCAAATTCTTATAACTGACCCCCCACCCCCCTTCTTTCCACCACCACTTACTTGGAAAAGAATAAAAATGAGATGAAGTTAATCGATATCAGTTTCTTTTCCTCTCAAAATATGTGCAGCCCTGGCAACTTTGGGGATTTAAATAAAAACAAATATAGATAAATAGACAAATAAATAAATAAATAAATAAATAAATGTGAGGCAGCGTGGTGGAATCAGGCTCTCGTCAAAATAATGTAATCGAAGAAAACAGCAGTTTTCTCCCTGCTTAGCAATTTTTATCAAATTTTTGTTTTTTCGCTCAACAACTTTTATGTTCATTTACAAACACTTTCCTTTGAGGATTTCACAGAAAACGTTGATTAAAGGCACAGAAATATAAATTTACCGTTTTTATCGACTCTCCAGCTTTGGAATTTACCAAGATTTGACGGCCATTTTCTCGCTAATTTTACCTCTTAAACCAGGTGACCCCCACCTCTTTCAATCCAAAATATCTCCACGTCTATTGAAGATAGACGGATATTTTTTCATCCAAACAAAGACAAGTGAACAAGCTTTAAGATGATACCAATAACTCTACATACCCAAAAATTGACGAGAGCCTGATTCCATCACGCTGCCTCACAAATAAATAAATAAATAAATACATACATAAATGAATAAATGAATAAATAAATAAACAAAGCAAAAAGCTAAACAAATAAATAGAAAATAAATACATTAACATTAAACAATAAATAAATAACTATATAAATCAATAAATTAATCAACGAATAGATAAATAAATAAATAAAAACAGCTTTCATGAACACGAGAAAACTACAGTCCACTCCGCTCGTGTTTACCTTGCTTGAGTTGATCTTCAGTTCAGGTATTCTTTTTCTCAGGTCCTTTTCACCTTTTTTCTTTACAGTTCCAAATGGTTAAGTCGAACTTCGGATAGGTTGATCTATATTTCTTCACTCCCCCAATGACAAAAAACTCATCCATGGTCGACTTTATTTCGAAAGGTTTTTAAACAATAAATGGATAGGTTATTGAAGAATGATCTCTAGATTTGAGATGAAGCTTGAAGCACACACTCACACACACACACACACACACACACACACACACACACACA